AAAAAAAAGGGTTTTTTTTTTTTTTTTTGTAGAGATGGGGTCTCACTATATTGCCCGGGATGGTCTCAAATTCCTGGTCTCAAATGATCCTCCCGCCTCAATCGCCCAAAGCACCGGCATTATGGGCATGAGCCACCATGCCCTGCCAGGGTCCCTCTTGAAAGTCACTGTGCACTTAAAGGCTCTAAGAAGTCTCATGAGAAAGAAACTCATTTGATTTGTTAATTTCCTAAACGTGTTTCATCGCAGTTCTCCTTCCTTCCTACTCCTGTCCCTGCCACTCACTCAACCTCATGTCCCCCAGGACACTTTTTGAGAGGTGTTGGCTACAGACAAGCTCTTGATAGGCAGGCGAGGGGAAGAAGTTTTCCTGGACTTGGGGATGAAGTGCCCTTTCTGTCAAGACAGGGGTCCCAAAGTGCCTGGGAGGGAGGAGAGAGGTATTGCCTGTTCAAGTGAGGGAGGTGGGCTCCTTCTCCCCTGGGCCTGGTGGTCTGGTAGAAGCAAACAGGAGAAAGGGCTGTGGCTGCAGGAGCAGAGGTGCCATGGCCTCGTGGCCTCCTGCCTTCTGAGCTGGCTGAAGCTATAGAGAGCCCAGGGTGTGGGACACCACCGGCCCTCGTGGTGTCTTCTGGAAACTAAGCTTCCCCCTCCTGTAGACACATGCCTTGGTGAGCAGATGGCAAATGACAAAAAGCGCCTCTCCCTCTGGCTGTAGACACAGCTCATGGGGGGTCCTGGGATGCTGCCTCTAGGCAGGGAGCATGCAGGCCTGTTGGGAGACGTGGCATGGCTCTTGAGTACCCAAGGAGGCTATGGCGCAGTCCTTCAGGGGACCGCATAGCACCAGATGGTTATCTAGCCATGCGGGCATGGGGTCCCAGCCCTGCATCTGATGCCTCAGGGGGCTTGGACTAGTCACTCTGACCTTTCCTGCAGTCTTCTGCCTGTAGGACATTTCACCAGCGAACCCCAAGAGCAGAGGAATGCCAGCCACTGGAAGAGGCCTGATGGGGCCAGGGTCTAGGCCTGTCTTCTCAGGACTCTGAAGTTGTTGTGTTTGTTAGAAGACAGGGTCTCACTCCCTTTTCCAGGCTAAAGTGCAGTGGCACCGTCGTAGCTGACTGCAGCCTCAAATTCCTGGACTCAGGCAGTCCTCCCGCTTCAGCCTCCTGAGTTAGTTGGGACTACAGGCTCATGTCATCATACCTGGCTGATTTCATTTCTTTTTCTTTTTTTCTTGAGTCAGAGTCTCATTCTGTTGCCCAGGTTGAAGTGTAGTGGCACACTCAGAGCCACCCCAATGTCAATCTGCTAGGCTCAGGAGATCCCTCCTCCTCAGACTTCCAAGTAGCCAGAACTATAGGCTCGTGCTACCATGCCCAGCTAATTTTTTGATATATCGTAGAGATGAGGTCTCACCAGTTTGCCCAGGCTAGTCTCAAACTCCTGAGCTCAGGCAATCCACTTGCCTCAGCCTCCCAAAGTACTGGGATTACAAGTCTGAGCCACCGTGCCTGGCCTACCTGGCAGATTTCTAAAAAAAAAAAATTTTTTTTAAAGACAGGGTCTTGCTTTGTTGCCCAGACTGGTCTTGAATTCCTGGCCTCAAGCAATCCTCCTGCCCTCTCCTCGCAAGTGTTGGGATTAAAGGCATGAACCATCATGCCTGGCCCAAGAATCTGGAATTTTTGCTTTAGCTTAAGAGATTTGTGCAGTTTTTTTTTTCATTTGGCCCTATAATTCATCTATGACTTTGAATTTTATTTTAATTAATTAAGTAATTTTTGAATCAAAGTCTCTCTTTGTTACCCACGTTAGAGTGCAATGGCATGATCACAGCTCATCACAGCCTCAACCTCGTGGGCTCAGGTGATCCTTCCACCTCAGTCTTCCTAGTAGCTGGGATTACAGCCTGCACCACTATGCTTGATTATTTTTTTTTTTTTGAGTTGGAGTCTCACTCTGTCACCCAGGCCGGAGTGCAGTAGCACGCTCATGGACCCCCAGCATTGACCTGTTGGGCTTCAGCGATCCTTCCACCTCAGTCTTCCAAGTAGCCAGAACTACTGGTGTGCACCACCACACCTGGTGAATTTTTTGATTTATTGTAGATATATTAGGTCTCACCAAGTTGCCCAGGTGGGTCTCGAACCTGTGGGCTTGCCTTGGCCTCCCAAAGTGCTGGGATTATAGGCTTGAGCCACCGCACCTGGCCTTGATTTTTTTTTTTTTTTGGCAGAGATGAGCTCTCATTATGTGAATTTTAAAATCAAGATAAATTGGCTTCCCAGGAAACTGTGTCCTCAGCCCTGTGCACTCGGCCTCCTGGCTGTTTCTATGTCTCTCTCCCTTCCACTGGCTGGTGCTGGCTCCTCTGGCTCAGTTGGGTCCCGTTGGGGTAGCCACGGAAAGAGAGCAGGGGAGGCAGATGTGTAGGCTGGAAATTAACCTCAAGGAGCAACATTGAAACCCAGGCAAGATTTCCATGTGGAGAGCAAATGTAAGAGCCACAGGTGGATGGAGCTCACCTGGAGGGGTGCCACTGCTGCCAAGGTGGGCCCAGGATGGGCTTGGCTCTCCCTAGCTCCAAGGGGCAGGACCAGACCTCCCAGGTCAGTGGGGACAGGCTGATCAACTCAGAGCTGGCCCTCGTGGGAGAGGAACCAGCATGTGTAGGAGAGCGAGCACCTGTCCAGGTTCCAAGGGGGTCTTGACCCCTTCACTCCCCCTTTCTATTTCCATGTCCTCACTGCAAAAGGGTCGGCATGCTTTCTCCCTGCTCGTTCTGTCAGACCAGAGCCACGCCTAGTGTGCAGCATCTTTGAAAACAGATAACAGAGTGACATTATAGGAATCTGCAGAGAGGCATGTCTGCGCGTAGCTCCTGTCACCTGGTGTCTGCCTTCTGCCCCTTGCCCAGTTCCCTGGCAGAACCCACACACCTCCCTCCCCGCCTGGAACCCAGCGGTCCCTGTGCCCTGGCCGGGGACCCACCGGTCAGCGAGGGCCGGGAGCCCCCTGGTGCTGGGCCTGGGAACAGCCGGGCCTGGCGGCCCGCAGGGTGTGTTGGCCTAAGGCTCCGGCCGTGACTCCTCCCCGGCTGCCTCCTCCCCACAGGCCGGCCTCGGCCGCGCTGGCGACTCGGCTGTGCTGGTGCTGCCGCCTTCCCCGGGCCCGCGTTCCTCCAGCCCCAGGCTCAGGTACCAGCAGGCCCTGGAGGGTCGGGTGGGGTCGTGGAGAGCCTGGGTGGGACAGGAGGGAGACTGGCTTCCCCACAAGGAGAGGTCCCCGGAAGCCCGGTTGGCTTTCCTCCGGCGCCCAGAATCATGCCTTCCTCACCCCCAGACTCTTCTCCTGCCCCCCTGCTTGTCTGGGCACGGGACCCTCATCCCTGGCCGCCTCCCATCCCCACAGTGTGGACTCAGAAGGGAGAAGCCAACTTCTGGACGAGGACTCTGAAGTCTTCAAGATGCTGCAGGAAAATCGTGAGGGGCGGGTGGCCCCTCGGCAGTCCAGCTCCTTTCGGCTCTTGCAGGAAGCCCTGGAGGCTGAGGAGAGAGGTGAGGCCCTGGGGGCTTGGGGGGGGCAGTGTCCTTCTGGATACCGGAGGCACTGATTGGACCAGTCGCTGAGCTAGTGTTTCTTAAGAGCCTGTTTGGGATGAGGCTCTGAGGGGTGCATACATTGAAGCTCTCCCAGTCCCTGCCCTTAGGAGCTTACAGTCTGGTAGGGGTCACCAGGTGTCGCCCAGAAGTAGCAGGCAGTGCTGGCTGAGATTGGGAAAGTGCCAGGCAAATGTTGAAGGTGGGCCTGTGGGGGCTGGGTCGGTAGGGAGGGCTTCTCGGAGCAACAGGGATTCGACTTGGCCCTGGGTGGGGGGGACAAGACTTAAACCAACCACCTTAAGGTGGTGGCAGGAAGTACTGAGGGTGGTGGAGGCTGGCAGCTGCCGGAGCGTGGGTGGGGTGGGGTGGGTGGCTTTTGGGTGCAGGAGTGGGAGAAACAGCAGGGCCTGGAGGCTTGGAGGGTGGACATGGAGGTCACCTCACCACAGGGGCGGTAAAGGCCTCGTGAACTGGGCTGAGGAGCACCCAGCCCAGCAGAGCAGTTAGGATAATGATGCCAGGCAAGGTGCTGACTGAGCAAGACAGACCACGTGGGTGCTGGCCAGCGTTCAGTTACTCATTTGACAAACACTGTGCTATCTGTTGGACCAGATGTGTGCAGAGTGTAGGGATCAAAAGTGGTCGTGACCCCACATCTGCCCTTGAGGTGTCCTGTGTATTGGGGCAGACAGGCCTGGCTGGCTGGCTTCCAAGGAAGTGGACCCTGCTGCAGGATGAATGCCCTCCAGAGTAGTGGAGAAGGGGTCACTGCCCTGATCGGTAGGGAGAGGAGGCGGTAGCTGACCGGACTGACAGGGAGGTATCTGAGCGGCAGATAACAGACCCCTGGTGGCTGGTTCCAGCTCTGATGTTTAGTTTCCAGGGCCGTTTGCAGAGGCATGGGGGTAGGGTGAGAAGGCTTGGAACAAATCTTGTCCCTCATGACCCTGAGGCCTCAGCAGGGCCCAGGAGGCAGCCCGGGGAGCGCTGTGGGGGAAGGGAGTGCAGACAGATGGTGACTTTGCCAAGGGAGCCTCAGCGTCCATTAGCTGCAAACAGGGACAAGAGCTGCCCAGTGACTCTGTGCTTCAACTTGGCATCGCCCGACAGCTCAGATGCCATAATGCATATAAAAGCCCTTTGAACATGGTACAAAGGGGTTGTGGTACTGCTGTGATCTAGTGTCACCGTCTGTTCACATCGTCGTCCGTCACTGGAGCACAAGACGGGGAACGCCCACTGCAGCCCGAAGTGTCCGACGCCTGAGCAGGGACGGGCCCGGGCCACTTTAGGAGGCCAAACCGGCCCTTGACCAACCTCAGCCAAGTGTCTGCCACGATCGCCTTCCTGCCTCCTCACCCACGCTCCCGCTCCCTCACGCTCAATGTGCCAGTGGGGTCCGCCCTCAGTGTAACCTCCGCAGCAGCTCCGGGGAGCCGCCTTGGAGGGCGGGGCTGTGCGGCGGGCAGGCCCTCACCACACGTCTGTCTGCCTGCACCCCCTCAGGCGGCACGCCGGCCTTCCTGCCCAGCTCGCTGAGCCCCCAGTCCTCCCTGCCCACCTCCAGGGCCCCGGCCGCCCCTCCCAAGCTCCACACCTGTGAGAAGTGCAGCACCAGCATCGCGTGAGTTTGCGGGAGTGCTGGGTCGGGGGGCACCAGATGTTCTCAGGAAGGGCTGGGCCTTCTAGCGCCCAGCATTGGAGCCTGTCCAGGACCCTGGGGGAAACTGCTCCATGGTTTTGGGGTGGGTTATTTGCAGCCGCCTAAGAACGTCTGCTGGCTTCTTCCGCCCTTATCTCCTCCCTCTCCTCCTTTTCCCATCCCCAGAGGAATGAGAAATGCTACTGCTTTTGATTTCTCCTCAATAATCTCAAAGCCTCTGGAGATCTGCCCTAGATGAGGCACGTCCTTCTGGAAAACCTTGTTCTTCCCCTCCCTCCCCCCTTTGGAGCTGGCTGGGTTTTCCAGAGGTAGGTGCATTTTTCTCAGTGGGTGGCATCAGAAAGCAACCACGATCTCTGGAAGATGGCTGAAAGGTCCCCCCAGGTCATTTCTTAGGTGTGCATTGTTGAGGGTCAGGTGACTGACTTTAGGCAAATACCTTAGTCTCTTGGGGCTTCAGCGTTTTCTTCTGTCGAGTGGTTAATATCCAGTCCCCTTGTTCTGCAGAGACAAGGAAAGGCTCAGCCTGTAATCCCACGCTTTGGGAGGCTGAGGTGAGTGGATTGCCTGAGCCGCGGGTTCGAGACCTGCCTGGGCAACTTGGCGAGACCTCATCTCTACAATAAATAAAAAATTAGCCGGGCGTGGTAGCGCACGCCTGTAATTCCAACTACTTGGAAGGCTGAGGCGGAAGGATTGCCAGAGCCCAGCAGGTCGAGGCTGTGGTGGCTGGGAGTGGGTACTGCACTCCAGTCTGACGACAGAGTGAGACTCCAACTCAAAAAGAAAAAAGAAAAAGAATGTGTTTTACATTGTGGTTCTTAAAGGCACCTGCATCAGAGGCCTTCAGAGGGCTTGATCAACACTGGCCGCTGGGCCTCACCCCCAGAGCTTCCTCTGCAGGAGGGCAGCTGGCTTGAGAATCTGCATTTCCAACTTGTCTGCTGGTCCTGGGACCCTGGATCGTATTTTAAGAACCACCACTGCCGGGCATGGTGGCTCATGACTGTAATCCCAGCACTTTGGGAGGTGGAGGCGAGAGGACTGTCTGAGCAACCTGGCGAGACCTCGTCTCTACAATAAATAAAAAAAATCAGCTGGGCATGGTGGCACACGCCTGTGGTTCCAGCTGCTTGGAAGGCTGAGGCGGAAGGATCACCTGAGCCCAGCAGGTTGAGGTGGCAGTGGCCGAGAGTGTGCCACTGTACTCCAACCAGGCGACAGAGTGAGACTCCAACTAAAAAAAAACAAAAACAAAAAACCACTACTCCGTTAAAAAATCCTGGGCATGTGGGACCAGGTTTTCAGTCTTTGAGTGAGGGAAGAATGACTTTTTTTTTTTTTTTGATTGGGGTCCTGGTGGCTGTGGGCGTGTGTGTGTGCACATCGGGGGGCAGTGATGGCTGGCAGAGTGAGATTCCCGAGAGGAACTTGGAGAGTCAAGTCCTTGAGAAAGTCTTCCCAGGCCCTGTCGCCCTGTCGCCAGGGCGGGGATCAGGCCCCCCGGGAATGGTGGTCTCATGCCTGGTCCCTAATGCCTTTCCCTTCCCGCAGGAACCAGGCCGTACGCATCCAGGAGGGCCGGTACCGCCACCCCGGCTGCTACACCTGTGCAGATTGTGGGTTGAACCTGAAGATGCGCGGGCACTTCTGGGTGGGTGACGAGCTGTACTGCGAGAAGCACGCCCGCCAGCGCTACTCGGCAGCCCCCACCCTCAGCTCTCGGGCCTGAGCCCAACAGCCCTCAGCCACCTTTCCTTCCAACCCAGAACCGTGCCCATAGCAAGCTGGCATGGCAGGGGCAGTGGCGGGTGGTGGCTCTTACCTGACTGAACTAAGTTTGGGGGCCTGGGGCCCCTTTGTCCTCGCTGGGTGAGGCCAGGGTCTGGGACCTCTCCTGGGTTGCAGGTGCTGAGGGCAGCCTCACCTTCCCGGGCCTCTCCCCCGTGGGACAGTCACTGCACCAGGGTGGGACACAGAGGACCTAGAAGGAGAGGGTGGGCCAGAGGTGAATGGGACTCACTCTGTAAAGTTTTCGACATATACGCTCTATGAATGATATAAATATGGACAGAATAAAGCGGATGCTTGTCTTTCTCTCCTTTCCCCAGCACCTGGGTATGAGTTACTTCTGTACTAGGTGGAGAGTCTTATTTACAGACTACTTTTCATCTTATCTTCCCCTCTCTCAAATCTCCAGGTCACTGCCCACCTGACATTCTCCAGATATGCCTCTTGAGGTTGGAGGCCATCCTCTTCCTTAACGCTCCCTTTTTTTTAAGAAATGGGATCTTGCTCTGTTGCCCAGGCTGGAGTGTGGTGGTATGATCATAGCTCACTGCAGCCTTGAACTCCTGGACTCAAGTGATCCTCCTGCCTCAACCTCAGGAGTTACCACGCCCAGCCACTTATCCCTCTTGTGAAGATGCTCGTTTTACTGAGAGGATCCCTTGTGCTGGGGAGGGAATGAGGCTCTCGCTGGGTACCTGGGGAGGAAACGTGATGCTAGAGAGCACCAAGCAGAGGGACAGGAGGAAGGCCTGGAGATCCAGTTAGCTGAGGCTTGGGAGATGGTCCCGTGCTGGGCTGCACCTCTCTGTGAGTCTGCCAACCCTACTGATGAGTACAGAAAAACTGGGTGGGCACGAGAGGGGGTGTGGTGATGTGGAGTGGATAGGCGGTCGGAGGGTGTAAACATCTAAAGAACTTCCTGGACTGGGCGCAGTGTCTTATGCCTGTGACCCCAGCTACTCGGGAGGCCAGGGCAGGAGGATGGCTTGAGCTCAGGAGTTTGAGACCAGCCTGGGCAACACGGCGAGAATCTGTCTAAAAAACATTCATTTATATATGGCTAGGTGCAGCGGCTCATGTCTGTCCTGTAATCCCAGCACTCTGGGAGGCCGAGGTGGGAGGATGGCTTGAGTCCAGGAGTTCGAGACCAGCCTGGGCAACATAGCAAAAGCTTGCCTCCACAGAAAAACAAAAAAATCAGCTGGCCATGATTGCCCGCACCTGTAGTCTCAGTTACTCAGGAAGTTGAGGCAGAAGGAACACCAGAGCCCAGAAGGTTTAGGCAGCAGTGAACCATGATTGTGCCATTATACTCCAGCCTGAGTGATAGGCTGAGAGCCCCGACTCAAAAAATAAAAGTATCTTCTGCATAGGCCTGCAGCCACCTGCCCCATTTGGGAAAGATAATCGCCAGAAATAACCTTGGGCCAGGGTTGCAGGTTAGCCTTGCCTGGGAGGAAAGGGACCCCACCCTGAGGGACCACCACCCACCAAGGGCCAAGGTGGTCTGCTCAGACCTTTCACCTCTTCCTTGGAGTCTCTACTGGCTTTGTTGTGGGTTGATTTGACAAACACAATGCATATGGCTAGTGCCAGGCATGCATACACTGGGGGCACATCCGAGTGGGGATAGGGCAGTGGTCCTCTGCCCGCCCATGGTTTTTGGCCTATTCACTAACCACCACTAGTCCTAATGCCAGAGGACACTTCAGAAAGCTCCCTCGGGTGCTGCTGGGTGCTCAGACCCACAGGCCTCCCTGCCAGCTGGGGAACGGGCGGCAGTCTTAGCTGTACTTCACAGAAAAGATCAAAGCTGGGCTCCGAGCTTTGTGGTCTCCTTTGGCAGCTCTGTGCTACCTGGCCCTTTGTGGAAGGAATCTTGGCAGAGACTGTGTTGATATAATTTACACCTTGATATAACTGTCTCACCTTGTGCCTGGATGGCTGCCTGAGGACGGGCCTTTATTTTTATAGAAAAGATCAAGGCGGGCTGTCTGGCTCCGGAATCTGTCCGCCCAGCGTCTGGTCAAAAGTGGGGTGGCCTCTTTGGCGCCACCTAGTGTTCGCAGCAGCCCATGGCAGGGAGAATGCTCACAAAAGAGGGGTTCCATTCGCTGGGGGACCCTTGGGTTCTGGGCATAGCGGGATACAGAAAGGTAAAGCACTTGTCTTGCTTTCCTGGAGATAGAGAAGGCAAGTGGCAGCGATCGAGCTGGTGTGAATGAAGTCATGCTATGTGGCGAGAGTGCCAAGGGCTACTCTGATACACCCAAAGTAGTGGCCACATATGCAGAAGGGTGGCCAGGTCCCCAGCAGGTGGAGGAGAGAAATGCCGAGTGACCTAGTGGCTGCAGGTGGGATGCTCAGTTTAGAGCAGTGGCTGACAGGGACACAGATAAGATCATAAGGGAGCCATGAATGCCAGAAGTAGTTTGAACTTCACCTCAAGGCTCTGGGGACACTTGGACATTTTTTTTTTTTTTGAGTTGAAGTCTCATTCTGTCACTCAGTCTGGAGTGCAGTGGCATGCTCACGGCCACCGCAGCCTCGACCCACTGGGCCCAGGTGATCCTCCTGCCTCAGCCTTCCAAGCAGCTGGAATTACAGGCATGTGCCATCATGCCAGGCTAATTTTGTTTGTTTGTTTGAGTTGGAGTCTAACTCTATCGCCCAGACTGGAGTGCAGTGGCCACTCCCGGCCACCGCAGCCTCGACCCACTGGGCCCCGGCAATCCTTCCGCCTCAGCCTTCCAAGTAGCTGAAAGTATAGGCACATGCTACCATGCCTGGCTATGGTAATGTTTTGATTTATTGTAGAGACGAGGTCTTGCCATATTGCTCAGGCTGGTCTCGAACCCATGGGCTCAGGCAATCCTCTCACCTCAGCCTCCCAAAGCGCTGGGATTACAGGCTGAGCCACCAAGCCCGGCTCTCTTCCCTTCTCTCTGCATCTTGGGGAATGACTTCAGAAGTGACAGATTTGAGTCAGAAGTGACCCAAGAGAGATGGAGAAATGACTCTTCGAGTTACTCAGATGATAAGAACGGCCAAGCTTCGGGAGCTCTTTGGAGGTGCTTGGGACATTTCACATGCGTTAACTCAGTTAATCCTCACAACTCTGAGATAAGTCATTATCCTTGTTCCATAGATGAAGAAACCTAGGACAGGTAGGTTAGGTAACGGGTCCCGGAACTCCTGGCTGCTAAGGGGAGGGTACCAGGAGTGGGATCAGAGACTGCCTCCTGGATTTCTGGCTGGGGTGGAAGGGTGGTGGCCTTGCCCCTCTGTAGCCAGAGGCAGGCTTTCAGGCCTAGCTCTGGCCAATGCTGGCCACAACGGGAGATCACACAGCCCTTCCAGGTCCTTCTCCAGGCTGGCAGGAACTGCCTCCAGGCTCTTGGCTCTGTCTTCCCCCGCAGGGCCTTGCTTGGGCTAAGTGTACAGGAAACAGGCTTCCTGAAGCTGGGACTTCCCCAGGAGCAGGGGCCGCTGGGCATTGCTGGCTTCAGGAGCTCATGGAAGGGAAGGTGCTCACCTTGTCAGGTGGGTGGGAGTGACTGTGCTGCCCCTCCCATTCCTTCAAGTATCACTCAGACACTGAGAAGGTACTAGGACTGCAGGCCAAGAGTCCTCTGGGTGGCGGAGGTCTGGCTGGGCGACCCCCCCTGTTGGGTGTTGGGTCAGATCCCCATGAAGGCTCTCAGCTGGCCCCGCTCCTAACCTGTTGCGTCTGCAACATCACAGGGGGTGGGGCCGTGGAGAGGAGCGTGTGTTGGGGTGTGTGTATGTGTGTGTGTGGGGGGGGCAGTTCTTTTGAGTCACACACAAAGCGTTGTGCTGAGACACTGCATTCCTGCTGGCTGGGCTTCCTGTTTCCAGATGCATTCCTGCCCCAGAGTCACCACAGAGACTGCCTGGAATCTGGCCCCACATTCTCCAAATTCAGAAGGCCTGTCTAGCAAAGGCTCCCTCCCCTGCACCTCCCTACCCCTGTATTTTGGAGGGAGGAAGTCACCTGGTTGGCCCTCCTACCTGGGAAGGGCTGGTGCGTAAGGGTCTAGTTCCTAGTTCCGTTAGGGGTTTGATGCCACACGTCCTCTTGGACTTTCATGAGGCAGTTCCCGCAGGCCCCCAAATCTCAGTTTCCCTGTCTGCCTGTGGGGGATTGATTGGGGACAGAGTGTCCAGGAGGGCAGGGCTGGGAGGGGGCAACCCAGCAGACCCAGGGCTAGAAGGAAAGAGCCGAGGCCTGAACAAGGAGGTATTGGGACATAGCCGGCAACTCAGGCACTTGGTTTGCATTCTGCCCGGTGGGGGCTTGGCCGTGTGCCTCAGTTTCCCCACTTTATACAGTTCTATAATATGATAGTTCTTGACTCTCTGATGAAGGATCCTGCAGAGGGTGTTTGAGGACCAGTTCCAAGAAGCAGAGGGAGTGGGCAGACTGTCTTCTCCCTCCCAGTTCACAGCCACTTCCTCAGAGCGGCTGGGGCTCCAGCCCCTCCCCCAGACGCCCAGGTGCAAGTTTGCACGTCCACCGGCTCCCTTATCTGCCCCCAGGGGATCTGGGCGCCGATGGGATGTTTCCCACCCTGCCCCCTCCCTCTGGAGGGGGAGGCGTCCTTAGAGGCC